CTTCTTGTTACTAGTAGCGATGCCAGGAGCCCCTAGTAGCGTCCTTGTATATAATTGCACAAAAAGACCTGTAGTGATTGAGGTGAGCTGCAGAGCCAAAAAAGGATGGTCCAAAATCCAAAGGCAAACACTAATATGATGTTCAGATTGTTGAGCCACCAGGTCCTCTCCAACGCGCCTGCAGCAATGCGTCTTTTGCCGCAAGGCGCTCGGCCTCCCCTTCCTCAGAACATGTAGTTTTGGGTGGAAGGATGGGTGGGTGGGTGGGTGGGTGAGTGGGTGGGTGCTTTTCAAGTCATTACTTGTCGTTTGTAAGTTTTTGAAACCTGACGGACTTGTTACCATAAGTGTAAGTGTGTGTGCGTGTTGTTGGATTTGTTCGTGTTTTCCACAGTTTGGAACGGCCTTTTTATGCAGTAGAGGAAACTGGAAAGCCTGCTTCCTCTCAAATACTTACTTGCAACACCCAGAAAACGAGGAGAAGCTAGCAAAAAACCTCGGGGAAATCTGACGCGCCAGATTTCTTCGCTGGTTTCCACAACAAAATGGTAGCCCACGTCGTCACCTTCTTCACGTCACTCTTTTGCGACGTCAGAGTCCAACCGAAGTATATCAAAGAACAAATGCACAACAAAAACGTCAGAGTCCAACATGCACGGAATGTTCTAAACTCCAATGCCTCGCATCGTCGACCAAAACGGAAGAAGAACTGCAGAACCGCCGCGGCCCCGACGTTGGAAGCGGAAACTGCGCGATCCGAGCTGGTCACGTCAACAGTTTGGGGCTTCACCTGGCCAGTCCATCGAGTGCGAATCCATGAGTACAGAAGCGTAAATAGAATCTGCCAGTCTCCGAGCCAAGACTCTAGAGGGGTGGTGCTGATTGCAGCCTACGATGTTCGATTGAACTCATGAAAGACATGCGCAACCTGGGCGGTTTAAAAGAATCCAGGATAGTACGAGCTGGCTGTCCAGCCGTGAATGGCTGCTAATGATCTACCAGGCTAACGATCTGCCAAAGTCCTGGCTGCTTTGACCAGATTGGCACGATCTGCGAAAACACAGCCAAATTGGTCACCCAACTCCCATCAACTCCCTGATCTGCTGTGCCCATTCGTACCTGTGCAAACGTCAGATGCCCAACGAAGAGCGACAGGAGGCCCTCGGAGTCGCTGCGATGTGGAGTGGGCCAGAACAATCGCCTGAAATCTATGGGTACCACCTAGGAGCGATCGGACGCTACTAGGAGCAAAGGGCATCGCTACTAGGAGCAAGGACCTACTAACTAGGGGGCCCTGGCCTTACTACTAGGAACAAGAAGCTACAAGTTCAATGCTGCAACAAGCTGTTGAAGATGGACACGGTTCACTGTCCTCCCAAAACAAAACTGAAAGTAACAGTAACATGGCGAGCAATGCATAGTGCCAAGACAGAACTTCCAACCGGTCTGGAGTCCCACGGGTCAGGGCCCCAAGAGCTGTTTTTTGCGGAAACAGTTGCAGTGCTGTATTGCAGTGTTGGAGTGGCCTTTTCCATGGCCTTCATTGCCTTGTGGGGTCTTTAGAGATCTTGGTTGAAGGTCTAAGAGCCCAAGTGCCTCAAGACTTTTGGAAAGAAACCAAGACATCTAAGACACATCGGCCGTGCCAAAAAAGAAGATGTGTCTGATGTGTCCAAATCTGAGAGCCTCCCTTTTGCCACAAGAAGTTTTAAATGAAACAGTAAAAAATGAACTTAATTTTCTTGCTATGGCTCTTCTCCGTGCCTCGGCAACAGGAGCTGGCTGGCTACATGACTCACAACAATTTGGTAGACTGTGCCCTCATCTCATTGCATGCTGAGTCCCCCAGGCGCATTGAAGACCTCGCAAACGGCCTGTGCTTCTTCCCTCTACAATCGAAGGTTGATTGGGTACTTCGACATGAATCTCAGCGAACTATTGTTTCCGGGGTATGTGGCAAGGATGGGTTGTTGAGCAAGAATGCGATTTCACAGTGCTAGGCATCATCAAGTGACCTCCAGCAAATATTTCAGAAATCTTACGGGTCGCCTAAATAGGCAAGAGACACCCACTCCACGGAAAGTGGTTTTGTTATTAACCTGGCAAGAGCAGTGTGAACAATACACCATGTTTCCGGTACATCAAGTAGACTGGGCGCATACTTGCGTCCTGCGAATCTAGAGCGAAGTAGCATCGTTTGCCATTCATTTGCTAACCTCCGCGAAGGGATAGGGATAGGGAAGCTGTTTGAGGAGAAACATTCATATCCGCCGACCCCGGCCTATAGCCAAAGCCTAGGCGGGGAGGCGCCTGGGACACCGCAGGGTGAAGCAGTTGGCCAAGCCTTGCAGAACCCTTCCAAGCACTTCCAAAGGCATGTGTGCAGGTGCATTGTGGTTGGCCGCGGCCTCTCGGTGGCCTGTCCGAGGCCTGCCTCTCCTCTTGTTATGGGCTTTTCCGAAAGCAACGTTAGACACCCACGGGCCCCGCCCTCAAACCCTCCTCGGCAGCCGGCAGGCCTGCCGCGGCCTCTCTGTGGCCTGTCCGAAGCCTGCCTCTTCTCTTCGCCCACGGGCCCCGCCCGCAAACGTTCCTGCAGGCCGCAGCTTGGCCCAGAAAGCTTTTTCTATGGGCTTCCGAAGGCAACGTTAGACACCCACGGGCCCCGCCCTCAAACCCTTCTCGGCAGCCGGCAGGCCTGCCGCGGCCTCTCTGCGGCCTGTCCGAAGCCTGCGAAAGCCGGTCTTATTCGCGGTCGCTTTCTATTTCGTCGTGTCGTGCTTGCTCTCCGGAACTCGCCAGCTTTTTGTCGGGCATTGTTTTCCTGAAGGTGTGTTGTGTGTGGCCTGAATGCGCCCAAAGAGCAGCGTTGACCAGACCACACTGTGGCACGCGGGGCACCTTTGCGGATGCTGGCGTGTCTGCGCGCAAACAGTGCCTTCTTTGACGTAAAACTGGTTGCCGCACACGGTTCGGTGATCTATTCGCCCTGTTTTCAGATTGCTTGCAACGTGCCCTTTGCAAAATGGACAAACATAGTCACACTTCCTCGCGGCAACGTCTCCGTCTTTGACGCGAAAACGATGCCCGCATGCACGGCGGCGATCTATTTGGCCTGTGCGCACGCTGCTGCTCACCGACGCCGCACAAAAAGGACACGCATATTGGAACATTTCCTTGCCGGCTTTCCGTCCAGGCAACTTTGCCGGCGCTGCGTTTGTCTCCTTCGCGGCTCTCGCCGTGGCCTGCGTATCTTGTTGCGGTCTGGCCTGCGTGTCTGCGCGTTGATCGTCGTGCGTTGTAGGCCCGCCCTCTGTAACACTGTTTCGTGGTGGCGCCGGCACTGTCCTGGCGTTGGTGTTTGTGCACGTTTGGGTTTCGGTTGGAGCCAGACCCTTGTCACTTTCGTGTTCCCTTTTCCGTTTGTGGTCTGTGCGCGCTTGGCTGCTCCCCGACACGGTTTTCGCAGGCTTCCCTACAGGCACTGCCTGTGCTGTTTGCGTTGTCTGTGTGCGGGGGTGGGTCTTGGTGGGCGTCGGCTGTGCTTGCTTGTCTTGTTGTGGTTCCATGTGTCTTTTGCGCAACGGCATGGTCTCTGTTGAGACACTTTCTGCTTCAAGTTCCGTCTTGCTTTGGGCCATCTGCCTTTCTTTTTTCCGGTTCGGCTCCTGCGCCCGGGGAGCGAGCACCTCATCCTCGTCTTGCTTCTGTCGCACGCGGTCAGCGATCTCTTCCCGTACAAGACCTATGACTTGCTGTCTCTTTTCTTCGGCTACTTTCGTCCTCGTAGCAGCCAGGCGCCGTATGGCTCTATGAGAGACACTTCGTGGCAACTGCTGCCCGTGGCAGCTGTAGACCCGTGCCTCCGCCCGGGCAGGCCGTCCTCTGCGCCGCGCAAGTCTGTTGTCTGCGCGCTGCGCCCCTGCGCGCTTGGCCACGCGCAGGACACATGCGTTGCAACGCTGCGTCCCGTTTTGCGGTGCAGCGCGCTGCCTCGACCAGGCGCTGAAGTCATGGCGCGCCTTACGTTCCGCGCACACGGCGCAGCGCCAGGCACCCTTGACTTTCACGGCGCAGTCCCTGCAGACACGTCGGTCTGCGTTGCGCCCTTTCCATGCGGCCGCCCCGAACGCACTTTCCGGCTTGGCCGTGCCGCACTTGTAGCATCGCTTCTGTGCCTCGCACGTCTGGCACACGCGGTAGAAAGTGCATTGGGGGCGCGCGTACATTGTTGCAAAGGCGTCTTCCTGCTTCCATGCCTTGCAACTTTTGCATTGCCAGGGCGTGTTGTTGGCTGCGTAATTACGCACGCATTCTCTGCACACACGTGCGTCCGCGTCCCGTTTCCATTGCCCGGCGCTGTACCCGCTTTTCGGTTTACTTTCGTGGCACTCGCAACACACTTCCTCCTCGCGGTGCCGCGCGCGCAACGTTGCCCAGTCGATGCTCTCTCCGCGCCAGGCCTGCAACAGCAAAGCTCTCCCTACGCTGCGTCCTTTCTGATAGGGTGCAGCATCGAAGGGTCTGTATATGTGTAATCCGTGTCTATCTTTCACTCGCGTCACAGCGATGTATGCGGTCAGAGGGTCTCCGCCTTCGCCGATCTGCATGTCCGTGACCGCCCCTTCTGCGTAAGTTTGGCCCTGCGCCGCGTGCGCAGTCGTGGCAAACCCGGGAGCCAACGGAAATTGCCGTCGCACCACCCGCAGCATGGGCCGCTTTCGGCCCTTGTCCAGATGCCACGCTTGCCGTTGGAGCGTCACCGGAAACACGTTGTCCGTGGCTAACCCCTGCACTCGCCACTGGGACTTGGTCTGGAACCGGACAAAGACACAAGTTGGGAGCTGATTCCAAATATGTGTCGTACTCCCTGCTTCTGTGCCCGCTGCTTCATGCCAGCTCCATCCAGCAACTGTGCCAGGACATCCCTTCAGTATGCCTCTGCGGCGATCCAAGTGATCGGTTGCCGTGACAGGCATGCCGATGCACAAGGGCAAAACCCCGTACAGCCCGCCGCAGTCCTGATCGTGACGTTGCAGCCATGTCAACTTGTCTTTGCCCAAGTCCGGTTTTTCTTGCAACGCTCGGCTGGAAATTGTGTCTTTTGCAATGGCATATTTGACCTCTTGCCGGTGCTGGCGTGCCCAGTCTAGTGCCCGCAGCTTGTTGCCCAGTCTAGTGCCCGCAGCTAGTCGTGGCACTTCCCCCAAAAAAGTTCCGCGCGGTGGTGGCAATTGCCATAAATCCCCTGCCACTAGTACGTTCAACCCTCCGAAGGGCTGCGCGTGCGCGCTGCCCGGGGCGTACTTGCTCTGCGCTAGATCGCGCACTAGCTCTCGGCATCGTAAATCCATTCTTGCCAGCAGCTCAGCGCTTACCATGCTGATTTCATCAATGATCAGCCACCGCCATTGCACGGCCTTCGCACTCAGGTCGAGGAACTTGCTTCCGCTGATCTTGTCGTCGGACGCGCCTTGCCAATTTAGGCCCATCGCGTGATGAATGGTATCGCCGTCCAGTTCCTTGGCCATCACCGCCTGCAGCGTGACGACGTGGTATTGCGAGCCATGCGTCCACCCGGCGATACCTTCAAAGAGCTCGCGACGGATCAATTTCAACGTGTGCGATTTACCCGTGCCGGGACCCCCGTGCACGACCCAGCGCAGTGGCTGCGGACTGGCGCCGTCTTCTGCCAGCAGCTCTGCTCTGACCTGTTGCGCGACGCGCTGACAGAGTTCGGCCTGTTTGCGGTTGCATTTGCCGTCGGCGACCGTGCTGCTCCACCGGTCGATTGCCGCCAGGGTTTCCTGCAACCGGCCGGGCCGTCGCGTCACGCTCGGCTCTAGTTTCGTCTGCGTTGCGTTCCCTGCGGGGGCCTCCGCCGCGCGATGCAAACCTTTCACGATGCCCTTCGTGTCCATTGTCGCATATGGGTTTCCCACTTCTCCCGGCACACTCTTCGATACGCCGCGGCCACCCCAGTGCTGTTCGGCGCGCTGTAACGCGTCCACGAGCAAACGTCGATGTGTGGACCACTTGCTTTCTTTGTGGTTGTCTTCTTCCACTGCCACATGTGTTTGGCAGGCTACGCCTAACAACTCTTCCGTCACAACCAGATCTTCATTGTCGTCCTCGTTGTGCTGCAGACAGGTCAGACCCACAGCGCTGGCAATCGAACGGGAGCCGGTACGGGACTTGCACGTCCACATTTGCTCCGCGTAGACTGGCTAGCATTGCTGGGTGACAGCAATTCAGCCACTCGCTTTGCCATTCTCCAGGAATTCTTCTGCTTGCCATTCTCCAGCCACGCAGATAGACCTGCGGCCGT